TCTCTCTCTCTCTCTCTCTCTCTCTCTCTCTCTCTCTCTCTCTCTCTCTCTTCCTCACTTTCTGTCCCTCTCTCTGTTCTTAAGACTCACCAAATCCTAAGACCCAGATCAGGGCATGCTAATGAGTTCAGTTTATTGGCAAGTGGAACAGGGTCCTTTGTCAAGTGGGGTATTTCCTCTGACGTCACTGACTGCTCGTCAGCCCCAAGGTGGGTCTTTGCCAGGAAAATCTGAATTAAAGAGGAGGCTTGGCTTTTGGGGAAAAGGCCTGTGTCTTGGCGGGCTGGGTGTGTCTGCTCCGGGCAGGCCTCTCAGAGTGCTGGTTCCTAGGGTTAAATGCACTTTTGACCCAAGAGGGGGGCAAAAAAAGCATAAAGCAATGGAGCTACAGCCAGTGCACTGTTACTGGGTGGGACTTTTGAACAGGTGGGAAGGTGACAGTTCAGCCCCACTTACTCCATCAGAGGCTGCTGTCTTTCCTGCCCTCCCAATGCCCTCCCCTCCCCTCCCCTCCATCACCACTTCCCTCCCTATTTTCTTGAAGGCTAGCTGCCTAGGTAACACCTTTTGCTTCCAAACCTCCTTTGCTGTTCTTCCTTGACCCCTTTCTCAAAACATTCTCTGTCTTTCCTCCTTCAATGCCAGACTGTTGGCATCTGTCTCCCTGTCTTGTGCAGGCGGCCATCTCTGGCTCACCACGGCTTTATAATTGCCTCTGGTTAAAGTTTAAATAGATGGGTTTCAGCCCAGGAGAAAAATGTAAACAAGCCATTTCTGCAGTCTTTTCAGAACTGCTGACTTCCAGCGCTTTTGAATTGTGTGCTAGGAAATTCATTCAGCTCCGCCCTCACCAAGGAACTGAGAACCGCCACCGGGCTTTCAGAGAGCAGAGAACCACTCTGAAGCCATTGAGAGGCATTTAGATGATCTACACTTTTCCTTTTAATTCAATTAAGCCATCAGGATCCAGTTCCTATTCTAGGATGTTTGTCTGGTGGACTGAGGTGAAAGAACAGTTAAGCAATCTTTGTGGGCTGGCTTCTGACAAAAGGAAGGAAGTGAGAGAAATTGTCATTTCCCTGCTGGAATTTTTTCTTTCAGGGGAGGCGGAGATGGTATTTGTTGACACCCCCTCCCTTTCCCCCAGGTTATCTTACCAGTCTTGAGAAGGGGGACATTCTTGGCCAGTGTAGAAGGAAGGCAGCAGATCTGGGTTGAGGTGGTGATTTGGGCATCTATATCTCTCTGTTTGCTGTGTGTCCTTAGAAGTCAGCAGGCTTTTTTTTTTTTCTTTTTGAGTCTTGATTAAGAATATTGATTTTCTATATTTTTCTGCTTTGTGTACTTTATGTACTTGTGATCTGGTGTCAGGATGGATTCAGCAATAATCTTGGATGCTTTTGTCAAGGTTTTGATTGGCTCCTTGCCTTCCCCGACTCAAAAGCCTTCAATAATTCCCCATTTCAAGTTCAGGCGCCTATTCAAAGCCTTCCGTGGTCTGGCTCCAACCCACCTTCACCTTGCACCATTCCAACCCTACACTGACCCTCCTGAACTTCCCACACAGCTCCTCAACATGTTCCCTTCCCTTCCTTATGCCTCAGTGTCCCAGCACCTGCAGACCAACCCCACCCCCGGCCACCTCCTCTGAGCCTTCCCAAAATTCCATCTTCCTGTGTTCTGTGGAACTTCCCTTGTTCTCTCTGTACAACCAGAGCCACCACTCCTTCCCTCAGTTCTCAAGTAGCCCATGACGGTCCCCTTGACAAGTGCCCTTATTTCATTATCTACTGTTCAGGCTCCATGAGTGTGTCAGCTTCCTGCACTAGCTACTCAGCTCCTTGAATGGAGGATGTCTCATCATATCCTCCCACCTTGCCCTGCCTCGTGTGTAGCCCAAGTCCGTACTCGATAGAGATTAAATCTGTATTTTTCAACCTCTCTGAAAACTTGAGGTCAATATTTAAAAGTCGCTCCTGAGCGGAATGAAGAAGAGTAAAGATAGGAGTTTGGAGTCAGGCAGATTTGGGTTCAAGTCTAAGCCCTGCTGAGTCTTCGTGCTAGGAGGGCTTCCTAATTCTTATCCTTTCCAAGCCTCACTTTCTTCGTTTGTAAAATGAAGGCAATAAAATTTCTCTTATAGGTGTTTGTGAGAATTAAAAGGAGATCATACAAGTAAAGAACCTAACACAGTTCTGTCTTATCCTTACCCTCCCTTGCTGCTAAAACATTTTAAATGTCAAAGCATTTTACTCTGGAACACGAATCATATTAGTTTAATGGAGTTGTGCCACATTTTCCTGTTTCTAATAGAACCTTCCTTGATGTAACAACAACGTCCTCTTTTCACATTTGCAAGTTTTTCAAAGACTTATCTTCTAAGTAGGATTGGACTTACCTGTTGGTCACCTGCAGAAATCCCAGTGATGGGATGATGGCAAGGCAGTTCCTGTTTGTTGCTGCGCTATTTCCTCACATGGAGGGTCATCCTCACACCATCACATGGCCCTCTTCACTTCCAATCCTGACTTTAAAGAAAAGACACCCATTAGGATACCTCTCTCTTTCCCCCTCCACAAAGTCAGTTGCTACTTTTACCCGTGCGAGGGGAGCAGTGGATTCCATCCATCCATCTAACATTTATCGAATGTCTGCTATGCTCCAGGTACTAAGATAAAAGATGAATCAACCAAGGTCTGTGCCTTTAAAAGTCTGAATTTGGGGCCGGCTGGGTGGCTCAGTTGGTTAGAGCGTGAGCTCTGAGCAACAGGGTTGCCAGTTCGATTCCCACATAGGCCAGTGAGCTGCACCCGAGCTGAGCTGCCACTGAGCTGGTGAAAGCACATGCTCTTAACAGCAAGGTTGCCGGTTTAACTCCCGCATGGGATGGTGGACTATGCACCCCCACAACTAGATTGAAAGCTGCGACTGGACTTGGAGCTGAGCTTGCACCCTCCACAACTAAGACTGAAGGACAACAACTTGACTTGAAGCTGATGGGTCCTGGAAAAACACAGTGTTCCCCTTCCCCAATTCCCCAGCACTGTTCAATTCCCCAATTAAAAAAAAAAAGTTTGAATCTAATAGGCTGGGGGATGGTGTTAAGTATCTAATTAAGCAAGTACTGGATGGGTATATAGGAGGGGACAGTCAGGTGTCAGGAAAAGCTTCAGAAGGAGGTGACACTTAAGCTGAGTCTTGAAATATCAGTACATGGCTGTCAACAGACCATGGGGGCAGAGCACTTCAGGTAGAGAAACCCAACTCTCGCTCTCGTTCCGTCCCTTCGGACCACTATCCGTGGCATGAAGCATCTGGCTGAGCCATCTTTACCCTGTCCAGCCGTCCTCTCCTCAGTCCAGGCGACTTCAATTCTTCCTTGGCAGCAGCAACATTATTAGTGATGGTTCCCATCCGAGAACTAACATTAGAAGCTCGGCTGCCAGAAAGCAGCTGGAGTGGTTAGAGCTCTGTGGGGGAGGGTGGAGGAGTTGAGCATGCGCATGTGAGTTCACCTGTGTGTGTGTGTGTGTGTGTGTGTGTGTGTGTGTGTGTGTCTGAGTTTGAGAGTGTGTGTGTGTTGGGGGGTGTCCATTTGGATGGCCAGTGGAGATGTTTATCTGCAGGTGTTGCCACAGAAAACAGAAGTGGATATTCAGAAAACAAAGTGACAACTCAGGATCTCACAGGCAGGCTGAAAGGCTGCTCAGAGAAGGGGGAGGCTGAAACCACCTCAACCAAAACAGAATGAAACAGAAAAGGAAGTTGCATCAGAAAAGGAAGAATGCCAAGGTCATGCTGAAGAGCCATAAATGTCACAAAATAAAAATAAACTTTGTGACTCTTACCTAGTCAAATACTATTACAATATTTCCTTCTTGACAGCATTTTAAGATTACTGAAATAAGAGTGCAGAAAAGATGGAGAACACAGAAAAACACAAACCAAAAAAATTGCTATAATTTTTTAGTTACATGCATCATATCTTATTTACTTGGATCAGTGATTAATTATAACTTTGCCTTTGACTCCAAATATAAGTGTTTTTCTTCAGCACTTAAAAAAATATTCATACAAGTTCTGAGATTGACTTACTGAATTGACTCATATTCAAATAATATAATTTTAAAAGTCTCCTTTTATTAGCACAAATTGAGAAATTTCAATAAAGACACTCTAATAATAGTGAAGCAACTGAGGTGTCAGAACAAGAAATATAGATCCCAGGATGTTATTAAGTTTTTTCATTTCCATTTATGTAGAAATGTGTCTTTACCAAAGAGAAGTAAAAGAGTAGTTTTCTTTTTGATTAGATCCATGTAACTGTACAAATAAAATATTTATAGGGCTAGCTATAGGTGAGGGGGTTTTATAAAAAGTTCATAAGACACTGGAATCAGCTTGGTATCGGGTCTCGTATGAGTCTTTAGAATCTATTGCTTTATAAATACAGTCATAGGAATTGGTGTCCCATCACCTTCTGGGAATTATAATGGCTTCAAATGATTAACCAATTTGCCAATCTCACAAACAGTTAAAAGTATATTGAGTTTTGGGCAATGAACTAGGGAACTTTGGTTAAAGTACAAAACAGTACCTCTCAATTGAGTAAATTATTAGTCCATATGCCAGTTGACCAGGTAACTAGTGAATGGGTTTGGGATGGAGAGAATGGAGTGAAATTGACTAGGGGGAGAAAAGCACCCAGTAGTGAAGAACAGAGGCAAATAAGTCTGATGCACACAGTAGGTACTGTTTGCATACAGTAGGTACGCAGTAAATAACTGATGAAAGAATGAATGAAATGAAATGAGTGAATGAGTGGTAAGTACAAAGGAAGTGGTATAAACATCTAATTCAAAACTAAGTTTAAATTTTGCTGCATGACACAGTTATAATACTTCCCCTATGCTAGCTACCTGGGTAATACATACAGATGTATAATGTGTACTTTTCAGAGTGAGTGAGACCCTTAGAAAAGAAAACATCTAGTTTGGGGAGAAATGGAAATCTACGAAAAATCTAAATTTTTAAACTTTAAGATTTAAAACAAAAAATTTTTTAAAAGATTTTATTGGGGAATTGGGGGAGGGGAACAGTGTTGGGGAATTGGGGAACGGGACCAGCCAAGTTGTTGTTCTTCAGTCTTAGTTGTGGAGAGTGCCAATCGCCACCTGGCTGCCCATCAGCAGCTTGTGGCCTCTAAGCTTAAGTTGCTGTGTTACAATCTTAGTTGTGGGTGGGCATAGCCACCATCCCATGCGGGAGTTGAACCAGCAGCCTTGTTGTAAAGGGCACGTGCTCTCACCAGCTGAGCCATTCTGCCACCTGTTGGCAACTCAGCGGCAGCTCAGCTTGGGCGCAGCATCACTCGCCCATGTGGGAATCGAACCGGTGGCTCTGTTGCGCAGAGCTCACACTCTTAAGCTAACTCTTAACCAACTGGGCCATTTGGCTGGCCCAAGATTTTTTTTTTACAAGTCTAAATTCAGTGTTACTTTAGGAACATTTAAAATGTATTAGGTATAATTGGTTTATTCAAAACCATTACATATTTTAAATGTAATTTATTCACATAATATAAATGTACTAATTAAAATTGTTTTCTTTATTTTGAAAACTAATTACTAATAGGGACTACAAGCTGACATCAAATGTCATTTGGCTTTTGCCAATTGAGGAGAAACCAGCAAAAAAAAAATAAGAGGAGTAACCATAAACATTACAGGAAAAACAAACAAAACCAGAAAGTTAAATTTTTTTTTTTCTAGACCGACTGCCTTCCATTAGGCATTTGTTTTCAGAAAATAATCTAAGGGTTGGGGTAGAGGGAGAAAAAAATAAACCAAGCCCATTGACTGCAGCTTTTTTCCAAGCATCTACATTTTTGTTTAATGAGTGAATGCCCCCAAATTTGCCAGTTTCCCTGCCTTCTGGGCTTCCATCTCTCCAGTGGTTCTTCATCTGGAGATACTTCCTGACTCAGAACTTGCTGAGGATCTGAAGTCCCACTCCAGCAGAGCCTCATAAAGTCCCTACCCCAGCTTATGTTCCGGGAAGTATGTCCTTTCTGATGGTGTTTCCAAGGAACGGGAAAGAAAAATATGTGTGTGTGTGTGTAGGGAATGCTAAGTTCTGTTTTACATTTTAAATCTATAGGTCTGTCCTTCAACAAGTGGCAAGCCATTCTTAATTCCTACTGCTCTGTACTGAAGAATTCAGCATCACTTCCCCTGGTGATCCAAGGAACTTTGCTCTTTGCCCAAAATACCTCTCTCCCAAGGCGATTTCCCCTCCTCTGAGAAACGCTGTCGTGTCAGGCTGCTCTGCCCTTGAACCAGACAACTTTCTCTGCTTGTCTTTATCTGTCTAAATAAAGCTAACCTACATTTGCTGTCTAATTCGTGGATGCTTGCTGATGCTATTTAAAGCTTCCCTCAAGGCTCCGTGGAAAACAAGATGCATTATCTCCAGGAGGGAACCTTTATGTTTGTTGGTCATTTAAGGAATTCAAGCATTTAAAGGATCCATTCAGTCTTCAGGAGTTCAGATGTGAAGGAAGGACAAAGGAACTCGTGTTTTTTATTTCAGGCAGTCTTCATTGACTAGTATGAGGCTGGTATAAGTTGATAGTAAAAGAGGTAGCTAGAAAGTTTCTCTCTCCCTCTCTCCCTCCCTCCCTCCCTCCCTCCGTGTGTGTGTGTGCTGTTTGTGTGTGTGTGTGTGTGTGTGTGTGTGTGTGTGTGTGTGTGTGTGTGTGTGTGTCTTTTCTCTAGGCTTCACGAAATCCAGCTTTTCTGAAGATGAATTGCCCGACAGAATGTATTTTTCATTCTGGGCTCCGATAATTGGGTTAGTCCACTGCAAGTTTACTTGCTCCTCTCAGGGAACAAATGTGAAAGATCAAAAGGAGGCTCACCTTCGTAAACAGGCTTTTGGTGAGGTTTTGGCTGTCTCTCCCTCCCTCCTTCATCCTCCATCTGACATTTCATTAGAGAATCCTGGTACTTCCACATTCTAGGGGGAAAAAAAAGAAATTCTGAACAGGAAAAGGCATAAAATATTGGGGCTGCACCTAGGACTCCACCGTGCACTTCTATATGACTGGTAAGTCAGAGAGGTTTCAAATCTGTTGCTTGGTTTTTCAATCTGGTATTTATGTCGGCCTGTTGGTTTGCTTAGTGGGAGGCAGAGCTGGTACAGTGGGATGGGTTTAACCATTAGTGCCCTGCTGCTCCCTTAAGCACACGCTTTTATCAGAATTCACTTGTTCAGCCACGATTCTGTGACGTCCATTGCAGTGAGTGAGTCAGAAGCCACAAGCTAACAGGTCTAGTCCTTCCCACCGTCACCTAGGAAACCAACGCATCATCCACAGGAAATGCAGGCCCCAATGGGGAGTGTGCCCACATCGGGTTATGAAGCTGGCAATGAGTTTTTCAAAAGAGGTCAAATAACAATGCACAGAATCTCAGTCTAGGGTGGGAAATGGATCCAGCCTCGTAGGCATGGATCGAGGACTGTCAGGCAGAAATACCAGGAGAAATTAACCAGCTAAAATCATGTCAGATGTCTGCTTTATATGAAATTTACCAAGGGCAAGGGGTATGGAGACAGGGTTTCATTCCCCTAGATGAAACGCATTTCTTTGCCCATTGGCTGAGGGGTTTTGTTTGTTTCTATAGGACATTTGGACAGTGTGTGCAGTGAGATAAGGAAATTGACATCAAACCAGGCTTTCTGCTGAGGGCAATGTATGTCCCTTTTTTGTGGTCACTCTCCCTTGAGTTCAAAAAGTGACAGAGAGTTCCTTCAGAGAAAACCACACCCTGATTCTCACTCATGCTTTCATTGGTTTTTTTTGTTTGTTTGTTTTTTGTCTGTGCCTTATTTTTCTCCCTCTTTGACCACTACCGTTCAGCCCAGTCCACTGGCTTTAGTCTATCCAGATAGCTGAATATACGTGTCATACAACTGAGAAAAACTGCCTGGACAGTTTCATGTTGCTTGCTGAGCTTAATGTTTCCAGGCAGATTTACACTCTCATACTGCTAAGGGGGAAAGATACTACGTAAAAGTACAATGTGAGCTCTCCCAGCACTTCCTGTTTTAGAATCAAAGAATACTAGAATGAGGGGGGGAAAAAACCCAACTCAGCTATCACCTGGTCCGACCACCTCATTTTTCACATGAGAAATGAGTCCCAGAGAAGCGATTGTGTCTAAGGTCATATAGCGAATTAGTGTGTGTTTTGGGGGGCACGGGGGGCGGTTGGAGAGAGAAGAGGGAAGAAGCTTGACCACAAGCTCAAAATGAGTCAACAGGTGATATGACCACCTCAGAGGCTGTTAAAATAGTGAGATGCGTTAGCTGAAGTATGGAGTCCTGACTTAAGAGGGGCAATGGGACCCTCACAGGCTGGTCAGTGTTACCAAGGCGTGTGACGGTTCTGTCCTGGGTACTCATTGAACAGGGAACAATGACAAACTGAAACGTCCCCCAAGGAGAGAGTAAAGATGGTGATCACAGTTTTAGTCACTACAAGCTAAGAAGCACAATGAAAACGATCAGAGCAGTTAGCTTGGACACCAGAGGATCTGTCACGGAAAGGTGGCTGTCTTGCAGAGGGCTCTGACTTACTTCGTATGACTGCAGAGGGCAGTCACAAATTGGTACAAGTTAAAGGATGATGGTGTTTAGTTCCATACAAGTAATTCTCTAACAATTCAAGCTGATGGAAACGTATTAAACTGACTGATGGGGTGGTGAATTAATTCCTTATTTCTACGGGTGTTCAAGTATTCATTCATCGAAACATGTTGAGCACCTGCTATCTACCAGCTGTGGGACCCCAGGAACGCTAAGAGTGTTGTCTGCATTAATTAAGGCAATATGAACTGCAGTATTAAATCTGTGTATCACACCTAAACCTGTCCTGTGGCTCAGACACAATTAGGAAATTTATTTCTCACTGATGCAACATCCAAAATGGGTGGGCGGCTCCCTTCTAAGGGGTAGTTCAAGGAAACAGGCCCTTCCCTCTTGTAATTCTGCTGTCTTCAACATGTGGATTCTGGCGTAGCTCTGAGCACTCACATCCTGCTGACAGTGAAAGAATGTGGAGATTTTGTGGGGAGAGTTTTACGGGCTGGACCTAGAAGTGGTGCAAGTAAACTCCGCTCACATTCTTTCTGCCCAGTAGAATTTAGTCACGTGGCCACATCTCATTGCAAGGGAGGCTTTAAAATGCAGTCCTGTGCTCAGAAAAAAAGAGGGAACCAGTTGGATGACTTAACTAGTGAACCTTTTACCACACTCGCCAACTCTGAGCGCCTATCATGATGGTGACAAAACCAAGACAGAAAATTTTAAATTGCCTTGTTTAATGCCAAAGTCATCATGTCTCATGTTTACATTAAATGTCTTCCTATTGAAAATTTCCTAGTCAATATATATTGTTAAGAAAAGAAAAAAAACCCAGCAAGGTAGAGGACCATGTATATAGTATGCCACTTTTGTGATGAAAAGAAGAAAAATAATGATAATATTTATTTGCATTTGCTTGCATATGTCTGAAGAAACAATGGAAGGATACGCAAAACTCCATAGAGACCAGGGTTGGGGTAAGAGGGAGGATGGAGACATCTCTGGGGTAAAACTTCTCCGTGTATGACTTTAGATATTATTTACTTAATTATAAAAGTATATCTTAAATTTAAAAAAGTATTTCCATTGAAGAAGAGTTTTTCACTGATTGATCTCTTTTTGTTTTCAAGTAAAGAAAAGCTTGAGAAAAGGACTATTTGGGAACGTAAGCAGGGCATAATTTATGAGCCAGAGGTAACAGTAGTGATAAATATGATGATGCCTTTCCTGTTATACTGAGCCTGTACTGGATTAATTAGGGTTTTCAAAAGGAAGCAAAAGAATAATGATGCAACAGTTTAGTTTTATGTGGAATCATCTAAGTCTCGGAGTGCTTTTAAATCCTACATCTTTGTTTATTTTCATAACATTCTTAGTAACTATGATACAAAAGGTTTAAATTAACTTCTTGTTTTGTAAGATACTATCAGAGCCAAGAATAGAAGTTTAATTGTTGACAGCTCGTGTTAGATGTTAGACTTGTAGGTCAACCCTCTTCATTGCTGGGCAGCATCAACATTGGAAGTATGTGATAAAAATCCTTCATGTTTTATAGCATTTTCATAAATATTTTCTTATTTCGTTTTCCCATCTGCTATGTGAATTTAATTGGGACTGGTATTATCTTTAGAAATAAAAAACAATAGTGGCCACTATAAATAAAGTTAAAAGGCTAATGAAAAACTGAGGGAAGGAGGACTCTCCTTAATATATAAAGAGCTATTACAAATCAATAATTAAAAGGCAAATATTCCAATAGGAATATTGGCAAAAGATATGCATTAAAAATCATAGAAAGAGATCTCAATAACAACCAAATAAATAAACATTTAAAACATTTTCTATCCTCAAAATGAGTAGAGATAAAAGAAAAATAGTATCTAGTGCTGATAAAAGTACATGAAAATAGGGACATTGATATTTTTCTGGAAGGGATTTCAGTTGACAAAATCTTTCTGAAGGAAATGGAAATATATTAAAACTTTAAACATGTTCATAACACTGTCACCTAGCAACTTTATTCTACTAACTTATCCTAATGAAATATTCAGAGAAAAAACAATTTACGCTGTCATATTAATATTAAAATACTTATGACTTCAGCAAAAGGTGGATCATGTGATCCACATGACATAGTAAGGAAATGGAATACCAAGATGCCATTTAAAAACCATGTAAAAGAATTATCTCAAAGCTAAAAGGAAAATCCCACTACCCAGTGTTAAATAAAAAAGCATGATTTCCCCCACAAGAAAATCAGATAAATGTATGTACACATTTATACACCTTACAAGCAGATGAATTCTGAAAGCCTGTTAGTAAGACATAGCTGGCTAAGAATGACTTAAGCTTAGAAATACACATTTCCACTAAAAAAGGTTTGATGGTCATGGAAAGCTTTAAAACTAAGTAGCATTCTCATTTCCTCACTGATATATCCATTCTACTGGGCTGCTTTATCAAAAATAGGCCAGTTTACATAAATTGAAAATCAGTCCAGGCAGTCCTTCGTGGATTTTTCACAATGTCCTAAAGAACTCAGCAGCTTCCGTAGGGAATTTCATGTTGCATAGATCTAACGGACCTTGAGTCTATGGAACTATCATTGGTATTCAGCCAAGATTTTGAAAATGAGCGCTTTCACCACACCTGGCTTTTACATGCTCGAGCACACGTTTAGCCCTTACCTGGATTAATATTGGGATTGTAGGCATTCAAAGCTGATACCAGTGCTCTAATCATACACTCCAAATTATTTCCATTTCTTGGATTCCTTTTCCTCATTTCTTGATGATTTCTGTTCATTGCATAGACCCAGCCAGCATTTTTTACATGGTTTGGATCTCTCTTTGTCTTTCAGGATCACCCCTATTGACTGATGATCC